ATTTTTCTTTTTTTTTTTATATTTTGTTGATCCGGTCGTCTAACGAAGTAACCTCCTTAAATATAAAAAAATCTTGCCTCATTTCTGCCTCTTTTCCTTTCAGATATTTTTCTTTCAATATACTTTTACTCATATGCCTCAGAAAAATTACAATGAAACAATACGAATAATCTTACTGTAATGTTTTACAAACTGAATAAAAAGAATCATTTTGCATCGTTGATTTGAGAAATGGATACTCTTTGACAACAGTAAAGGTTATGCAACTGAATTACCAACACAATATTCAAACCTCGTTGCAAAAAAAAAGAAAATGGTTACCTGTATGGTGGTTTTTTTTAATTATTCATTATTTATTCTTGCCCCAAGGGAAAACAATAACAGTAACATTGTATTGTGGTGAAATTGAGTGTATGCATGAAAAATTGCAAAAGAAACCTCCTAGACTTGTAAATGGGGATGTCCCAATTTTGTTGCACGACAACACACGACTGCACTCTTCTCAGTCAACTATCCAAAAGCTGCATAGCCTGAATTATGAAATTTTGCCACATTCTCCATGTTCAACTGCTATTAGTAATTTTGTTGGCCTCAAGGACTGATTAAAACTTATTTAAAGGTTTGGGAGAGGGTTTCATACAGAATAAAACATTCTTCAAGATGTAATAGAATCATTTGAACTGTTTATCACATCAAAGGATGATAATTTTTTTAAAGATTGGATGAAGAGTTTAGAGGTACCTTGGAGAACAGTACGTTGAAGAACAGTTTTGTCCTAACTCTAGAAATGTTAGAAATGAGTCATGTTCTAAAATAGTCTCGTCCGACCGAGACTCTCGAATAAATGTCTTGCATGGCATCCAATCGTAATTAAATTTTTCTAAACTATGGTACTTCACTTTTATTCAAGATAGAACAACTATTAAAAATGTGTTCGGACGGAAGGTCTTAATTTCCATCATCTGATGAAATCAACAGAATCCCAGGACCAAACAGAACTTTACCAAATAGCAGAAACCACATATTAATCAAGCTTCATGAAAAAGAACTGACTAGCTCTGTCTGGTTAAGTTTCTTATATTTTTTCCAATTTTTGGATTTCTTCTCAAGTAATGTTTTCGAACTGTCCAATCTTCACCTTTTTTATTTTTGTTCAATCAACTCTCATTTTCCCATTATAAGAACCATATGTGGTCTCTTATAGTTAATTCTTTGTCCGTATCCTGATATTCTTTGGGAAGCTGGACGTTTGAAATGAAACTTACTCTCAAAATCATGTATAAACAGCCATTGGGGAACGAAGGCCAAGACAATGAAAATGCGATTTATTTATGTATTTATTTTATTCTATTTATATTTTTATTAAATGAATACCATTATTTAATATAAATTACAATTCAATTTAAATCTCTTGTATGAATAACATTTTAATAATGTCTGTTTATTTGAGGTATAATAAATAGCTTCAGGGTTTTGATTATTTTTTCCTTTTATTTGGGAAATACATTTTATATTTTGCTGTTATCTCTAATATTAGATTCATAAAACCTTTGCAAAAAGTTACTTACTAATGTCTGTTAAAAAAAAAAAACGATAAAATTGTCCTACAGAAATTTTTTTAACCTAACAATTAGATCAAGTATTTGATGTTAAAAACAGTACAAGGTAATACAAATACATATTTAAACATGGCAACATTTATAAAAAATTGTAATCTTCTATGGGCCATGTCACTGGACCAATATGCAAATTTCTTTATGTCCATGCATTCTAAACAAAAGCTCTCAATAATCCATGTCTGTCTACGATACAAGCACATTTTATCAACCACATATTCATGTTGGACTAATTTCTGCAAATATAACAAAAAACTGAAAGAAACCATTCAAAATAATTCTATCCTACTAAAATCAGAGGCACACATTTGTCTGTGAAATAAGTGCAATTTCATATTTTTGAAGAAGCGGATTTTGGTAGAATGGCAAAGAATTAATTTTCACCGCTGATATATATATATATTACACCAAGGTGCCCTCCGAAAGTAATGACTTCTGATAAAATCTGGCGAATGTCCATGCAAAATGACATTGGAGGCATTGCTTTAGAACGTCTACTTATATTTGATATATTATATATATATATATATATATATATATATATATATATATATATCACATTCCCAGCCTATGAAAGGTTGCCTCTGTCTTTTTATAAATAAATTCATGATAATTGTTTAATCAAATCTCTTATGATAAATAGACTCTATCAGTTTAATACAGTACTAAACTAAACGCAATTCTTCTTATTTATATTAAGCTGGTTATGGTATCAACTTCTATACTAACAGTTTTTCCTTAACTTCCGCTTGTTGAACTCACTTCCGGCTGTATGTTCAGCGTGCTTTAATATGGATATATATATATATATATATATATATACGCAATCTACTGTCCTGTGATTAATCTTTTCTCTCAAAAAAGCTCATGATTAATGTTTCAGACTATCGTCTTCCACACACACAAAACAAATGTTTCTTAAGGTTTATCTTTAGGGATAAAAATATTCATGAAAGAAATAAAAAAATTATATATATATATCAAATATATATATAGGTTCTGCTACATTGTGTGATTGTGTGTGTGTGCCAGATGGCATCTTTCCTTAAATCACTATTTGGCGGATGAACATTGCATCATATCTGACCGCCGGGAAGTTAATTGTATGTCTTTTTCTATAAATATCTTTGCAACATCCGAAACATTTTCCACCAGAAGAATCAATTTTCCTTAAACTAATAATTCAAAAAAATTGTTGAAATTATATATATATATATATATATATATATATATTTCTTATATATATATGTTGAAACTTGACTAATGCATGGAATAATAATGCAACACAAAATGTACTTAGAACAAAATGTATTGAAACAAGAAAGTGTACACAATATTTACATATAGTCTTTTGTATATTCCTGGTAAGACCGTTCCTGGAGAATGTGTTGACTTGAGTCTCAGTCAGGCAGACCAGAGTACCATATTTATATGGTCGGTACTCCACTATGCAAATTAGGTGGATCCTACCACAACAATATACATACATATATATATATATATATATATATATATATATATATATATATATATATATATTGCCATCCACAGACAGACTGTTTAGCTGTATGACAGCCCATCAGTGTAGCTACACGTCCAGTTGCGTCTAGCTAGGATCAAAACCCAACTGAAGTAGCGTCAGTCGAGGATTCCACCACTAAGCCGTTGGCGCACGGCAGGGATGAAGGTGAATTTAAGTGTATTTATTTTTAGATAAACACACAATTACTGAGAGAACTCGATTATATATAGTTTTGACTAATAGATTAGCCAAGAGCGTTCGGATCCGAAGATCATTTGGAGAGTTCTTGCATACTCTACGTCCAGAAAAGAATTTTCTTGTAGGCATGCAAGAAAAATATAAAAATGCTTAATCACAGTGCCTTGCTCGTCATCTTCAATGAAACATGTATAAAAAAAAAAGTGATTGCTGCCTTTGTTACTCAGAAACTACAATCCAGCCTCTCAGAGGACCTTCGATGGACAAAAGGAACGCGTATGTTTCTGCACATACACACACACATAAACACCCCCACAAAGCACACGCAAATATATACAGTAATTTATAAAGAATTAATGCACTTATTTTTAATTCGACATTTTTATTACTATTAGAGTTATTTTAATGGATACACGTATTTTAAATATACTCCATTATTTTTTCTATTATTAAAAAACTTCGTTTTACGTCGACCGGTCTGCTCAAAGCACATTTTTCTCGATTGCGCAAGCCGGTAGACATAATACACTCTGTTTAAAATAAAAATGAGGCGTCATTTCCAAACACGGGCCTCCATTAAAATAAAGGTTGGAGTGATATATATATATATATATAATTATTTATTTAAAAATATGATTCCAACTCGCGACATAAGAGGTCTCATGTTTCAAAACAAGAGCCGAAAGAGCACTATTTTTTTAAAAATAATAGCTAAAATACTAAGGAACTTTGGATTATTTACCTAACCAGTTCCTTTCTATTTTTCATATTATATATACACACACACATATATATATATATATATATATATATATATATATATATATATATATATATATATATATATATAGTACTGTTTCGATCCTCAGTGCGACTAGACAATTGAATGCATCAAGCCCGGATCGAAACCCAACTGATTTAGTGATTCTACCACTGAGCCATCTTCACTCGACAAAATGAGTAGCCAAATCTAGCGTATTGTTTTTACAAACGTAAACAAAAGAAAAGCATCCATAATGCTCCATTCATTTTATTGAAGAGTTTCGCATTTACGCCGGTGACCGTTGTTTTTTTAGCTTGTTATTCAACAGTGCTCAATTGAAAATATATTTTCAAGATATATATATATATATATATATATATATATATATATAGATAATACTGCAAATACATATATATATATATATATATATATGAAATATATATATATATATATATATATATATAGATATATATGATATATATATATATATATATATATATATATATATATATATATATATATATATATATATATATATATATATATATACTGACCTAAAATTTATGATTCAAACAATGGTAACAACAATAGATAGATAAATAGATAAATAAAAAAAGAGACGTAGATAGATAAACCGTCCTATCAGATTATTACCATTCTTATTGCAAAGTCTTCGAGGCAAAAATCTTGGACAAGAAAGTGGTCAAGCACCTTACATCCCATGATCTGCTCTTAGATAAACAATATGGTTTCTATTTTTGGGTTTGTCCACCTCTGAAGATGCTTTAAACCATAACTGAATTTATATACCATTTTGTTTGACAATAACGGAGAATTTCGAGCTTTTTAGCCTTAGATCTCTCTTAAGCCTTTGATAGGATCTCTAAACGTTTGATAGTGTCTAGCAATTGCTGGTCTTCGTTTTCAGGGATAGAACATTTAATAGATAGATAGATAGATAGATAGATAGATCAATAGATAGATAGATAGATAGAATTATGAACAAAGAGACTAGATAGATAGATAGATGATAGATAGATAGATAGATAGATAGATAGATAGATAGATAGATAGATTGTGAAATTTTTTGAGATAGATAGATAGATAGATAGATAGATAGATAGATAGATAGATTAATTAATGAAGATAGATAGATAGATAGATAGATAGATAGATAGATAGATAGATAGATAGATAGATAGATAGATAGATAGACAAATTGTGAACAGACTGAGATAGATAGATAGATAGATAGATAGATAGATGAATAGATAGATAGATTGATTGAACAGACTTGAGATAGATAGATAGATAGATAGATAGATAGATAGATAGATGGATAGATTGATTGTGAACAGACTGAGATAGATAGATAGATAATAGATAGAGATAGATGGAGATAAATAGATAGATAGATGAATAGATTATCCAAAACAGACTGAGATAGATAGATAGATAGATAGATAGATAGATAGATAGATAGATGAATTAAATAATGAAATGGGTTAGATATATAGATAGATAGATAGATAGATAGATAGATAGATAGATAGATATGGAGAAGTGTAGATTTTTGGGGCCAGCACTATATTCATATTCATTTAGAATTCAAATGCTATCTTCAGTGCAACTCCTCCTTTATATTCAAACAGGCTTTTTTTATTTGACAGCCAATATCTGTCTGCTTAATTTCTAATGTAGTTTACTTGAATATAATATATATATATATATATATATATATATATATATATTTGAAAAAGATTCTTACAGGTACAAAATTTTATTATAGCAAGGAATAAGCGGAATGTAAAGGACATAATTATGAAAACTAAGAACTAAAACAAACAACCGGTTTCGTTCGTTTACTCCTCAAGTTTGATACACTGGGATTATTTAAATCATTTTAAAAAAAAAAAAAAAACATTCAATGAGGGGGAAAAGAAAAAAAAATTTTTTATATATGATAGAAAGAACTAGAGAGCCCAATCATTTTTTCAAGCTCAACAAGCAATCTCTCTGCTTACAGAGAAACGGCCTGTTGGGACTTGATGTAAATGGACTTGAGAACCTTCAAATGATATGCAAAGAAATATTCTTCGCCAGAATGGAAAAACAGTTGGACTCAAAACCAACAACATTTCCCTTACTTGTTATAGCGTGTTCAACTATAGATGACTTTGGATATATATATATATATATATATATATATATAAATATATATATATATATATATATATATATATATATATGGCAAAAAAAGCAAGTAATAATTTTTGTGAACACACATGCCAAAAAATCACATACACATTTATTTATCAAAAACCAAATGCATATTCATTACAAACAAGATGAATCTTCTCTAAGACATATTATACACGCTCAATTAAACTGAAAAAATCGAATCATCCTTGATAATGGCTAAAAAATAGTTGAAAGTGCTAAAAAATATAAAACATTTGGACAGTTCTTACACCCTTTGTCCAGAAAAGAAAGCAGAATTGTTGGAACACAAGAAAAATTAAAAAAAAAAGCTTAATTCGTAGTAACTTGTCTTCGTTTTAATGAAAAATGCATAACTGGAAGGATTTTGCTTAAATATACAAAATATATATATATATATATATATATATATATATATATATATAAATATTAGAATCATAAATAAGAATTGAAATTTTGGATAAACTGCCCAAAGTCCATTACTGGTTTTGTTCATAAGTACATTCGCCTGTCTGTTTTTAGTCTTGATTTATTTTGGCCACACTGCGCATATTTACTATTTTTTTAGATTCAAATTTGCCTAAAGTGACGTCATATATATAGCGGTTACACTGAGCTTGGCCGCACTGAATAAGCACGTATCAAATATTTATACATGTTATTATTCTTGTCTCTTCCTCCGTTAGTTAGCGCGACCGTTACACCCTGCCAATACCTCTTAAATAATGGACTATTCCGTTTTGATCTCGTGGAAAGAAGGGAAAAACACTACTAAAATGAAATAGGTTGAGAGCTGTTTCTCGAGAAGAGACTCTGCCCTTCGACATAGACTCGTCTGGGGATCCTCTCTGCCCGGAGGCAGAGGGTTTGGCCATCACAGCTGGAGACGAATCTCTAACTGCAGACCAACATGAAGTATTTACTATTGTATTTATGTGAATGGGGACATGGAGATATTATCGTCCGTGGGTATGTGACAACAATTATTATTATTATTGTTGTTGTTGTTGCTGTTACAGTCTGACATGATTAATTCATTTTCCTAGGAATAGGTTATTACCGGACCACAGAAATGCCGGATGACAGAAATAAACCCTAAAAAAAACTTATGTACACAGTCTTGCCAGCTGATTCCGCATATATATTGATAGAACAAAGCTTAAAACAGAAAATAAAACAATCATTAATGCTTCCAAACAAGGCCTTTATTGTTTCATGCTATACAAAGCCTTAAAAAGCACCTCTCTTGGTGTGGCATTCTGAATGGGTAAATATGCAGCTATATATAAGACATTACTAAAACAATCTGCTGCTGTCGGCTACTGCGGAAAGTTGCAAACAAATTATGGCACTGATTTCAACTAATTAATGGCGGTTAATTTTAAAAAATACGAACTATCCTAGTTGACGGACCATGGATTAAAGAGGTTGTACTGTTTTACATGAGAATCTGGCCTTTCTTTAAAAGAACACTGAATTTGAGTAGATGTTCGCAATATATATCTCTATCTATAAAAGGCAGGATGTGTGTGTGTGTGTGTGTGTGTGTGTGTGTGTGTGTGCGTGCGTGTGTGTGTGTGTAACGAATGCACGGCTGCAATTTTCGAAGGATTTGCACCAAAATTTACATGCACATGTTCCAAGTTAGCTAGAAGGCCAAGACCGACATTGCATTTCCCAACTCCCATCGATAGTGGAAATAATCGATTTTTTCAGGCTTCTACGGCAGTTTTCATGTAGTTTGTGGCCATTTTCTACTGGCCAGAGTGAGAGCCTATAGCTGGCTGCCACGAATAGGCAGGAAGATTCTATTGGCCAGCGTGAGAGCCAACAGCTGATTGACACGAATGTTAACTAGCATGCAAAAAAATATCGATAGCTGCATTCGTCACAAGTGGGAAAAATTTAAATCTGCATGGCACTTTACTCCAATTGGGTTATTCGCTTGCTGAAACTTAACGTTGATTCTGATTCTGCAGAACTTGGGTGTGAAAAAGTATTTGTTGTTAACATTCTTTTTTCATTCGGTTTTTCCAGTTACGAGTCCTTTTTTAAAGCTGATTGTTTTGTGTTCATTTTGTTTAGTTCTTTTTTCGTAACAGATTTAATGTTTAGTATAGAGCTTAGAAAAAAATTCTCAGTGTGAGATAGTCCAGAAGTAAGGCATGTAGCAACATCAGCACGGAAAAGGGCACTCCTTTAAAGGCAAGGAAGGGCAAAAATATTTTAAGTCAAGTGATAGCGATTGCTGTATGAGTCGTACGATTTTTGAATCAAGCACGGGCAACGCCGGGCTATTCTGCTAGTGTGAATTAAGTTTAAACGTCTATTGCCTTTTTTTCTTTTTCTTTCAGATTTGGCAGACATTTGGGCAATATTATTTTTCACACATAATTGTCATGACTTAACTAATATGATCCAATAGAGAAATAAATTTTCACAATCACTGATTTATTTACTGCTGACTTCGATCCATCTTAATGAAACACACTTATCTGTCTAAATTAAATACCCTTTATATGGAATTTTATTATTTGTACGTTGTAGTACATTGATTTCTAGGGAAGTAAAAAATCATATAATACCAGGAAATTTTAGAAAGTTTATACTTTCTTTCGTTTGTGCTCAGAGAATTTCCAGCTTGAAAGGAACCAATGCCTTCTTGTCCCTATAACACCGAAGAAGTCAACTGCTATATTAACTTGTTGTGGTCATAATCCTTTGTTGCATCACCTTTCTATATATTCATAAGTGTCAATAATTATAAAACAATATACAGTGGAACCTCGGTTCACGAATTTAACTCGTTCCTGCAACCCGTTCGTAACCCGAAATGTTCGTATACCGAAACTATTTTTCTAATAGGAATCAATGAAAAATGGTTTAATCCGTTCCTGGTCCCAATATGATTGCTTATATAAACTTTAACAACAGTACTTTGTGCACAAGTTTATACATAAAACTAATAAAAATCAAAGAAAAGAATAAATAAACCCAATACTAAATAGATAAAATATAGACAAACCCTTTAATTTTACTGTACCTGCATGTCGGAGAGTTGATGGCGTAAGTGAAAGGGGAAGGAAAGAGATGTTATTGCTTGGAAAAGAGAAAGGAAAGACATGATCGTCTCTTTATTTATAAGAATAGTATAGATCGTTGATTTTGCCATATGAAACTGAGTAGGAAGAGACAATATCATCAACAATTGTTTTTCTCTTTTTCTTTTACCAGTACCATTGCTAGCTTTCTTTGGAGTCATGACTGAGGACTAAGGAAGAGAAAAAAAAGGCAGAGTACAATAAAATTGGTAAAGAAAAACACAACAAAACACACGAATGTATACAGCACGGTGGTCGACTAAGAAATGATTCCGTTCGGGTTAATTAGGTTCGGCTCGGTTCGGCACGATTCGGCTCGGTTCGGCACAGTTCGGCTCGGTTCCGCTCGGTTCGGCTCGGTTCGGCTCGGTTCGGCTCGGTTCGGCACGATTCGGCTCGGTTCGGCAATGTTGTTCGAGAACCGAAATTTTGTTTGTTAACCGAGGCATTTTCATCTCGAATATTCTGCTCGAAAAGCGATTTGTTCGACATATGAGATGTTCGAGAACCAAGGTTGTATTGTATAGTCTTAGTAGCCTTAGCAAAGAGAGAAAAACTGGTAAAAGTCACAAGGAGTAGGAAGATGTGGAGAACCATGATTCGAGGGACGCGGCTCCTAAAATAATACTCAGAATCAAAAAGAAACATTTGAAATTTCTTACACACATAATGAGGAAAATTGGAGAGTCAAACAGCATATTAAAGGAAAACGGATCAGAAGGAGAGGTGGGAGATTTGGCAAAGAGACAAGTGTTCTAAAGGAATAGGAAGTTGTGGAGAGCCATGATCACCCACTTCCTGATGGGACATAGAAGAGCTACATATTTGGACACACGAGATAATAACTATGTTTATAGACCTTTGTTCTTATCGCTGTCCAACTATTTAGCATTTGCATTCATCTGTCTATCACTCTTTATACATATTTAACAATAAGGTTGAGTCAGCTGTTCATATCCTGTATATGTTCACTATCAAGACGAAAAATAATCGATAGACATAAGTTATCGACCAGAACTATAGGTTACATATAAATACAGGCATATACATTGTATGTGGGAGAGACAAAGAGTATGTGACAGAGAAGGTGGAGTTGAAATAGGCGGGCAGCAAGAAGCGGCTGATACGTTGAGAGACGGTCCGGCCAAGTTGTTCTGGCCAGCTGACGGCTATACTAACGTGGGAATCAATGATGAGCCAAGGTCCAACCGTGTTCTATTTGGTGGACAGTGAACAAAAAAGAAAGAGGCATTAATACCGACTAAATGTAATTGGAATCTTACCGCGAATCAAAAACTCTTTGCCTTCTTCCGTTTTAACGTTTCTTATCAACCCACCTGTACCATTTCTTCAAACGCCATTGTCCTTAATGACGTCGGAGATCATGGCTCTCAAAAGATTCCTGTTGTTTTTATTATCTGTGAATTGTTATCACTTCTTGAGAAAGAAACTCGAGAAGTCTCTAATTGCATTCCTCACGTTATTTTAATCATTTCACCCCAAGCAAGGCAGTAAAGCCACTAAGACGGAAGTATTTACTTAGTATGAGAGAATATGTGAAAAAAAAACAATATTTAAGAGAAAACAACAAAAGACAGAAGATAACAATTGATATTTAAATTTTTGAAGATCAAAGTTGACTAGGAAGCGAGAAGCCGGGAGAAATTTACACAGGCCAGAAGTGCGAGAGTTTTTTTTTTAGCATAGAACTTACGGTTACATTTAACTATTTCAACTATAAACTGATGAGACCTAGCCGCCAATCTAGTACTGTGCTTAATTCCTTAAGTCTAGATATCATGGAGGAAAGTTCATCAGAACAATTATTACGAAATTATTTAAAGAAAATTCAGAAAATTAGGAACTTTTGAATTCAGAAGAGTCCTTCTCATAAACTAGCTTCCACCCAAGGCTAAGGATCCCATTCTACTTTGCTATTTAGCCCATAGCTGGAGGCAGATGAAATAGATTCGTATATATTTTCACGTGTTTTAATGCCCGAGTGAAATCAACTGAGTAGTCAGGAATTCCATCTTCTTTCGTCGATTCCACGCTAATGGCCGTACCCAACCGACACATCCTACGTCCGTAACCGACATTGATTTGATTTTTTACGGCTTATCAATCTTTCGTAGGTTATTTAAAGCCAGAAACATCTTTAGATTGTAAGAATGTTTGGAGATAATAATGGTTTCCTGATACAAGTCCTACTAATTAACCCATAGCTGGGGAGATGTTGATGGACTCATACCTTTTCAGCAGTATTTGCGCGTAAGTGAATATAATGGACCCGACCGGAAATGCAACTCGGTTTTCTGATTTCTAATTTCAAGCTGTTATCCATTAAACGAACCGCACAGTACTTGGTATTCCCAATCGGTCTCTCATCTAAGTACTGACCAGGCTCAATGTTGCTTAACTCCGGTGATCGTACGAGAACCGGTGTTTCAACGTCCCATAACCTTCAGTGTGCGTAATAGTTTTACGCTCAAAAAAGAAAAAATATATCTTTCTTTACTGGTTTAAGTCAACTTCTCTTCTAGTACTTCTATGTGCTACAATATGTACTAATTTAGTAAAAATCACGCACTTCGATGGTGTAAATACTATAAAAAATATTGCGCGAAATTGTATTTCTGTTACAGAATTTTCTAAAACTTTCTATGGAGAAAGCTTCGCAGGATATCATCTTCAAGTTTTCAGCTGTAGTTTGAACACTGCATACATCACACATACTGTTTTTTTTTCTTCTTCCTTAGAAGAAACTGAGACGAACAAGGCACAACGAAGAGACAAATAGGAAGATTTGGACTTATTATGAAGATAATAATACTACTCCATAAAAACTGAAGAGATATTTAGATGTGCCGTTAGCATTCGGAAACGCGTGACACTACAAAGCAACCATGAAAGCCAACTAAGCTTCTCGTCTTGGGTATGACGATAAACTGCATCCGCGTCCTGGGTAAGACGATAAACTGCATCCGCGTCCTGGGTAAGACGACTAACTGCATCCGCGTCCTGGGTAAGACGATAAACTGCATCCGCGTCCTGGGTAAGACGACTAACTGCAACCGCGTCCTGGGTAAGACGATAAACTGCATCCGCGTCCTGCGCAAGACGACTAACTGCATCCGCGTCCTGGATAAGACGATAAACTGCATCCGCGTCCTGGGTAAGACGATAAACTGCATCCGCGTCCTGGGGAAGACGATAAACTGCATCCGACTGCAGGACCTCTGATCAGGAGGCTTTCAGGAGCGTGGAACCACTTCTTAATTGCTGGTGTTCCAAGGTTCACCCTGACTCGGAGTGGTAGCACCTGTTAGGGTCCCAGCTATGGGCAAATAGTTAACCCCCAAACTGGGGTTAAAACACTATGAAAGTGTAAAAATAGGTTTTATACCAGCAATAAATTTTTTAAAGGAAAAATTATTACCAGCAATACATTATTACCAGAAATACATTTTTGAGAAAAAAATATTATCAGCAATACATTTTTGGGAAAAAAATATTACCAGCAATAAAAATCTTGTTGGCATTAAATAACCCATTGAGGTTGATAAGCCATAAAACAAAACAAACCAAGCAAAGTACTAATAGTTTCATTTTTTAACAATTACAATAAAAAAAAAAAGAAATAATGATCTTTCAAAAGACACAGTGGTTAGAGGCGTTGGTTAGATCCAGCGACAGTGTGAGTTCAATACCTGGTTAAGGCAGTGGAGAAGTTGGAGAGGTGAATTAACAGGAGATAACTGATAAATGGTATGACACGTGGAACTGGAACAGTCTACCACAGCGAGCGAAATAAAGGGTTCAGTTCGACATTCCAACCACCTGAAGAAGGCCGGAGCGTACAACGGCCGAAACGTTGTGATAGATATGGCAACAAAGATGAGGACAATAATTCTAATAATATAAATAGTGTACAAGAGATGAGATATTATCTCAGAAATATAGAGAGATATCATCATTTTCCCTTTAGATTACATGTGCTACCGTTGGAAGTTGAGGTGGTTGGAATGTCGAACTGAACCCTTTATTTCGCTCGCTGGGATAAACTGTTCTAGTTCCACGTGCCATGTCTAATAGATGTCAGTTATCAGTTATCTCTTGTTAATTCCCCTCTGCCTTAACCAGGTATTGAACTCACACTCTTTGGGTCCTGTCGCTGGATCTAACTAATGCCTTTATCCACTATGCTATGTGTCCTTGAGGACATCCGTGTGTTAATTTCTGGTACTTTTAAACCTAATGTATTCAGCAACCATTTTTTACCATTCTTCATATTGCAATTTTCTTTTGTTATCATTGCTTTTCTCTGGCACTCCTTATTACTGGTTCCCATATTGTATTCATTTCTATTTTTGGTCGGCTCAGGAGATTTTTTGTGGCCTAGCATATGTGCTGAGGATTTAAGTTTACGAATTTTCCAATGATCTTCTTTGTGTATGGTTTCAACCTGATCCCACAGAGGGCGGTGATCTCACTTTTCTCTCCATATGCGGTCATCAACGCCTGATTTTTTTTCACTTCTCCTCGTGTTACAGCTTTTTTGGTCTTCTTGAAGCCTTACTTTAAGGAGGCGGCCTTGTCTTCCCTTTATACATTGTGATCAATATAGCAACAAAGATGAGCACGATAGCCCGAAAAATGTAAATAGTGAAAATAATGATATAATTAAGAAGTTAACTGTACATTTTACCATAAACAAACTTGGTCTCACATTTCCACTGACATGGAGTGGAGCGACAATATTGAGTCAATTGTTAGGTTTACTGATAATAAAGTTGGTTCACTGAGTCGTGCCAGAAAATCTTTGACGTCAGAATCCATCTTGCACATTTATAAATCTACAATTCGTCCGTGCATTGAGTATTATTGCCATGTCTGGTCTGGTGCTCCTGCTGTACATCTTGAGATTCTTGATAAACTACAAAAAAAAATTTGAAATCTTTTTGGTCCTGACCTGGCATCTCGACTTCAGTCACTTTCTCACCGATATGATATGGTTTCCTTCTGTCTTTTCTACAAATATTTTCATGGTAACTGCTCTGCATTTCTTCCCTTGTGTTCCGAATTTAGGTGTACTAGTAGATTGGCAACTAAGTCTCACTGTTTTACTGTTGAACTAGATAAATGCAACCGCCACTTCTACTCTAACAGCTTATTTTCTCGCACTTCTCGCCTGCAGAACTCCCGATTTCTTGATTCCTGATTGCAATTCTCAAAAATTTAAATGCATCATCAGTTACCATCTTGTATATTCTTGAACTTTGTTCATTTTTTAACCTTTTCTCAATCCTACTCACTAAAATCTTTTCATTCTCTTTCACTCACTTTAACCCTCTGCGTCTTAGTGGCTTTATCACCTTGCTTGGTGTGAAACGATTAAAAAAAAAGTTAGGCAGGAAACACCCAATATTAGAAAGAGCGATGAGTTAGTGGACCTGATATGCTTGATTTTCAGAAATAAACTACTCTAAGAAAAAGATTTTATAAATTTCAATCGAAACTAGCAGCAATTGTTTAGTCAATAATTGCCAAATGATTCCAATACGCAAACGTGTATCATTATTGTAGCCATTAGGCATTGGGTACCTTGACGAGGTGTAATGGTTAACAAACATGTCTCTCTAGATCAATTACAACTGAGTAATGAGTTCAATCTTCAATGGGTACTCGATATTTTCGGCCTTGTGCCACATCAAATCCGTGCCTTGAAAATCAAACTAACCACCAGGTTTCGTTTTAAATCGAAGTTTCCCTCTCTAACTGGTACTAAAAATGAAAGTAAGGTGCTCTATACTTTCGGCCTTGTGCCACATCTAAGCCGTGCCTTGAAAATCAAACTAACCACCAGGTTTCGTTTTAAATCGAAGTCTCCCTCTCTAACTGGTACTAAAAAGAAAAGTGAAGTGCTCCATACTTTCGGCCTTGTGCCACATCTAAGATTCATTTAGTAAATCATTTCTTTGTCACTTTGACATGGTGTAAGCGGTACCAAGCTTGTCTCGCACGATCAATTAGGACTGGGTATTGAGGTCGACGCTCACTGGGTGCTCCATAAGTTCGACCTTGTGCCATATCTATGCTACACTTAGTAAATCGCTCCTAAGAAGAACAGTGCTTGTATTTAAGTAAAGGAAAAGTGATTTGGACTAAGAACAATGACAGAATATGGTGTTCCCGCATAAAACACAATTCAATATTTTATCGTCTGGACCGAAAGCAATTTTATTTGCAAGTCACTACCAAACAAACTAGTCTTATAATGTACAATCCTCTGTAGAATAAGAATCAATGCATATGCAATAGGTTTAAATATATTTTTTTTAAAATGTGAAAATAATTAAATACTTCGATGCTGTGAGGCTGCTTCTATTAAAATTTCTTCGTAGTTTGATAGCTGTACTGAATACCTACACGTTTTTAAATTGACAACAACGAATGTAGCATACTTAAAACCGCTGAATTTATTTAATAAGAATTAAACTGAACAATATATTTATAGAAAAGTATATATATATATATATATATATATATATATATATATATGGGGGTATGTAAAATTTTGAGAGATTATATATCTTTAAAAAGACAACATGTATAAAGACCAAAGGAAAACTTATCTTTGTCGACATGTTAATTCCTCTACGTGACTTTATCAAGGCAAATAAATTTTTGTATACAAATCTTGTATATAAATCCTTGCATTTGCTTTGATAAAGTCCCACAGAGAAGGAAACGCGTCGGCAGAATTATAAGATAAATTTTCATTTTGTCATTATATATATATATATATATATACCATTCGCTGATAGTTCTGTTTCGCTGTATCACAGCTACTCAGTGCGACTAGACAACCGAATGCCTCAAGTCGGGATCGAAACCAAATCGATTTTGTGTTAGAGCTTCTACCACTGAGCCATCTTCACGCGACAGAATGAGATAGCCATATCTAGCGTATTATTTTTACAAACGTAAACAAACGCCAATCAGCCATAGTGCTCCATTCGTTTTACTGAAGACATTCGCATTTACGCAGGTGACCATTGTGTTCAGAATTAGCTTGTGATTCAACAGTGCTCAATTGAAAATATATTTTCAAGAGATAAATTATGTCATTTGCATATATTAATGTATATTTGAGCAGCAATTTTTCTTTTCAACGTCTTTCGTTGAATATGAGAGACAATGAAAATTTATTTAATTTTTCATTTAGTTTTTTCCAGCGTTCTTACATTTTTTACTTACTCCCATCAAACGGAAAAATTTGCAAGAACACTGGAATAATATATATATATATATATATATATATATATATATATATATATATGGATTAAAGTATGTTTTCCTTTTGTTTTCAACGTAAGAGGCTCCAGGAGTTCAAATAGAGCCAAAAACTATTTATGATTTAATTATGATGGGGAACGTTTGTGCAGAACCG